GCCATGTAAGCGCACACATACACAGGGCACGTGAATAAGCACACACACACACACACGCGGCGTCCTCAAAAAGTTCTTGGAAAATGCGTATCAGGAAAAAAATTATTCCCACATTTCAAAAACGTTTGCACCAAAATAAACTTACCTTTTTATTCCTTTTTTTAAACTTTTATTTAATAATTACAAATTTGCAAAGTACAACTTTTGGATTATAGCAGCTTTTCCCCCCATAATCTCCCTCCCACTGCAACCATCCCATATCCCACTCCCTCTCCCATCCCATTCACATCAAGATTCATTTTCAATTATCTTTATATATAGAAGATAAATTTAGTAAAGATTTCAACAGTTTGCACCCACAAAGAAACACAAAGTGTAAAGTACTGTTTGAGTACTAGTTATGCCATTAATTCACATAGTACAACACATTAAGGACAGAGATCCTACATGGAGAGTAAGTGCACAGTGACTCCTGTTGTTGATTTAACAATTGACACTCTTGTTTATGACGTCAGTAATCACCCTAGGCTCTTGCCATGAGTTGTCAAGGCTATGGAAGCCCCCTGAGTTCACCAACTCCAATCTCATTTGGACAAGGCCATAAGCAAAGTGGAAGTTCTCTCCTCTCTTCAGAGAAAAGTACCTCCTTCTTTGATGGCCCATTCTTTCCACTGGAATCTCACTCACAGAGATCTTTGATTTAGGTTTGTGGTTTTTTTGTTTGTTTGTTTGTTTGTTTTTGACACAGTGTCTTGGCTTTCCATGCCTGAAATACTCTCATGGGATTTTTAGCCAGATCCGGATGCCTTAAGGGCTGATTCTGAGGCCACAGTGCTGTTTAGGACATCTGCCATTCTATGAGTCTGCTGTGTATCCCACTTCCCATGTTGGATTTTCTCTCCTTTTTAATTCTATCAATTAGTATTAGCAGACACTAGTCTTGTTTATGTGATCCCTTTGACTCTTAATCCTATCAGTGTGATCAATTATGAACTGAAATTGATTGCTTTGACTAGTGAGATGGCATTGGTACATGACACCTTGATGGGATTGAGTTGGAATCTCCTGGCACGTTTCTAACTCTACCATTTGGGGCAAGTCAGCTTGAGCATGCGCCGAACTGAACATCTCCTCCCTCTCTTATTTCCACTCTTATATTTAACATGGATCACTTTTCAATTAAATGTAAACACCTAAGAATGATTTTGTGTTAATTAAAAAATTCAACCAATGGTATTAAGTAGAACAAAAAAATACTAAAAGGGATAAAGTATTAAGCTGTTCATCAACAGGACAAGGGCTGATCAAGTCACCGTTTCTCATAGCGTCCATTTCACTTCAACAGGTTTCTTTCAGGTGCTCAGTTAGTTGTCGCTGATCAGGGAGAACATATGATATTTGTCTCTTTGGGACTGGCTTATTTCACTCAGCATGATGTTTTCCAGATTCCTCCATTTTGTTGCAAATGACCAGATTTCGTTGTTTTTGACTGCTGTACAGTATTCTATAGGGTACATGTCTCATAATTTCTTTATCCAGTCTACTGTTGATGGGCATTTAGGTTGATTCCATGTCTTAGCTATTGTGAATTCAGCTGCAATAAACACTGAGGTGCAGACAGCTCTTTTATTTGCCAATTTAACCTTTTTATTCTATTTCCCACAAGTTTGTGGACATCCCCTCAGACATATGTACACATGCGCACACACATGTGCACACGTGTGTGAAGAGACTCACTGCGGGAACTTGGCGTCCGTGGCAGCATGGCTGGTGGGCTCATGCAGTCTGGAAGTGAGGGGGCTGGCACTGCCGAGCATAGGTGGGGCCTCTCTCCTTCCCGGGGGAGGACCAGTTCTCAGGAGCTCAGGGGGCCCACCCAGGTCACCTGGGTCTCTGTGTGCTTGGATGTTTGGGATGTGGCCCAGCTGGGTTGATGGGTGGAACACAGATGATACAGTCTGTGAGTTCAGTCGTGTTCTAAGCAAATGTGAATAGAGCGTAGGAAGCCATGAGATAAGTGTGTACTACCTCAAACAACTGAAAAGGGCATTTGAAAGTTATTTTTGAGGCCAGCGCTGTGGCTCACTAGGCTAATCCTCCGCCTAGTGGCGCCGGCACACCGGGTTCAAGTCCCGATTGGGGCGCCGGATTCTGTCCCGGTTGCCCCTCTTCCAGGCCAGCTCTCTGCTGTGGCCAGGGAGTGCAGTGGAGGATGGCCCAAGTGCTTGGGCCCTGCACCCCATGGGAGACCAGGATAAGCACCTGGCTCCTGCCTTCGGATCAGCGCGGTGCACCGGCTGCAGCGTGCTGGCCGTGGCGGCCATTGGAGGGTAAACCAATGGCAAAAGGAAGACCTTTCTCTCTGTCTCTCTCTCTCACTGTTTAACTCTGCCTGTCAAAAAAAAAAAAAGTTATTTTTGAGAAAGGAGTGTGTGGACCTGGGTGTCCTTGGTGAGAGCTCGCCCCAGAGGAGACCCTGGCGGATCCCTCCCACTCAGGCACTGTTGCCGGTGAGGCTTGCAGGGGCTTGATGGGTCTTCAGGGAGCTTGGGCAAACCCCCGGTGCGAGGCAGCCTTGGGTTGGATGGAGGCTCTGTGTGCCTGGGGAGAAGACACAGGTCAGCAGAAAGCACAGAACTCCGGAGAAGGCTCTGCCTTGTCCCTGGCCAGCTCCTCCTTGGGAACAGCCATCCCTCTGTGAGGGTTGTGCCTGGGCCAGAGTTCCCCGGGGTTCTGCCCTTGGTAGCTCAGTGAGCTTCTTGAGACACCCCTAGGCTGCTACAGGTAATGTCTGAGTGTCACAGCTGCAGGTGCACATAGCTCTGTGAGAACTCAGAGTTCACATACACAGAAAGACTGGAAAATGTTTCATTTCATCCTAAGTAACCACACCTCCTGTGGTTGGCATCCCAGCGCCTTCCAAAAACCCAGCTGCACAAAGATGTGCTGTCACCAAAAGCATGGGGGCAGGGCCGGCATGAACTCTGGGAAGTGGCTGACTTGGCTGTGCACACGGTGCCCAAAAGACCGCGAGTACAATATCTGCACCACCCTGGTGCTCCCCTGTGAGTTCACCGCGGCATCCCAGGTCCCCTGGCGCACGGCTGCAGATGACGGCCGAAGCATTTGCACAAGTACCTGGTTGGGCATCTTGAGGTCTGGATAATGTCGTTGAAGACCTGAACCTTTTCAAAATCAAATTAGACCTTCTAGAGTTTTCCTGTTTTCTATGAAACAGATTTGTGTTATTTACCGGGAGGGACTCATTGTCTGATATATCTGAATTTATTTATTTAAGATTTATTGATTGATTTTAAAGGTAGAGTGACAGAGAGGGAGGGACACACACCCATACACTCTGCTACTTTCCCAGGTACATTAGCAGGGAGCTGGATTGGAAGTAGAGCAGCCGGGACTCAAACCGACATTCTTATGGGATGCCGGCAACTCAGGCAGCGGTTTAACCCACTGCACCGCAACGCCGGCCCCCGATGTATCTGAATTTAAGTGATACTCTTGGAGCAGAAGCAAATTAGCAAGTGTGTGCCAGGGGAGCCATCCCCAGCCTGTCACTGCAGCCACGCCACTCGGTGAGGCTTCCTCGGTGCCGGCTCCTCCTCCCCACATCTGTACGTACAGTCCATCCTCCGCAGCACCCCTGCACCCCTGTGTGAGGGGATTTAGCATCGTTGTGTCAGAAAGGCTTATTTATTCTGACAAACTGATCCACCTCCAGGGTGTTCCTCCACCATGAAATCCATTTTATATCTCATCCCTGGCTAATAAGATGTGAAGTGTCTTTGCGGTCACGGCAAGAAATCAGACCTGCATCCCCAGGAAGCAGTGGGGGGCGACCACACAAGGCGCCCTTGGTGACTGAACCTCCCAGGCAGCTTCTCCCAACAGAGCACGGCCGAGCACAGGGGAGGGGCTGAGCCAGAACCCGAGATCAGCAGATACACTACAAAAAAGAGAGAAAGAATGAAATCCAGGGGCCCAAGTCACTGTTCGTTGGGTTTGCATTTAGTTCAGAACAACTGTTAGAAGCTAAAACCTGGTGGGATTGGGGATTTGTCTAAGGATATCGGATGCACACGCCCTCTCCCACTGTTAAATAAAGTTTGCATCCCACCGAATTTAAATCCAGTCCCTTAGCTGGGGGAAGAAATAAGAGTGACCCTCGGAAGTGCCGGTGCAAGACAGAGCACGGAGCATCCCCCGGGAAAAGCCCTTTCCCCAGCTGGTGCTGTCTTCTTCCGTTTCCTATGCCCCAGTATGAAAATAATTCTCAAGTGAGTTTTTGAAACAAGAAATCAGACGCGGGAAGGAGGGAAGTCTGGCAGCGTGATGGGAACAGGTGCCGGGCGGGCATCAGAGAGGAAGGGAGACGGGCTGTGGAATAAAGCCGGCTTCATCCAGATCCCACTTGTTTTCCTGTTCTTTTTCAGTTCCAATTATTCTCGTCTTAAGCAAAACTCAGCTAAGTCCCTGGTTTATGCTACAGAATATTAATCCAACAGTGTTCAAGACTCGGGGCATCTTCCAGGGCGTGCAGACGCCTGGTGACCTTGCCGGCCCACCCTCTCCGTGCTGTGTGAAACCAGCCCAGCATGCAGTGGTTGGGCAGCACAGCCCACCAGCAGCGTGATCTGCCTACGTGGCTGGAGCTGGGTGGGGAGGCCGGGGCCTCCGTGCCCGTCCACGGGGGCCTCTACTCACCCCATGGCGGCTGAGCCTCTGCAGCAGGTGTCCCAGCCAGCAAGGAAGCTGCGGGTGCCCAGAGGCTGTGCCTGGAGCCTGGCGACTTCCCAGCCCACCCTGTTCGCTGGGTCAGGTGGGCTTCCGGGGAAGAGCCGAGCCCACCCACCTCACCTGCACACTGCGCCCTGTGCTGACATGCCTTGTCTGAACCGCTTTTGCCCCGACGAGCCCCACTAAAGAGGAACTCCAGCTCCGTCCGAGTGCCAGCCCCTGACTGACGCGGCTCTGTTCCTTTGCAGTTCATCTTCTGCCGCGACTGTAAGGACGCCTACCACGAAGGGGAATGCAGTGCACCGTCTGAGGCATCAGGAGCCGGAGCTCAGGTACCGCTGGCCACGCCCCCTCCGCACAGCCGGGCTCAGGCCTCCGCTGGGGACAGGAGCCCCTTGCTGGGCTCCCTGGGAAGACCAGAAGCTCCCAGGCTGCAGCCGTGCAAATGGGATGGCCCACTTGCAAGGGTGCAGGGCGGACTTCCGGTGGCTGTCTGGGGGTGGGGGCACTTCCAGATGGGTTACCCCCAGGGGAACGTGGGACAGGCACAAGGTGTGGGATTGGAGGAGTCTTTGGAGGGGAGATAAAACAATTCAAGGATCTCTAGATCAGAGAAATCAATACCACCCCTGCTTCTGTGTTTGCTAACCGCCTTGTTTAGAGCCCTTGGTGAAAGCTCTCGGCAGGAGTGACAGGTGCAGAAGTGGTGCGTTCCACAAGGATGCCGCGGTTTTTAGCCAGTTCATAAACCATGCTAAGTTGTATTTCAGCCCTGGCTAAGTAAAGAGTGTGTTTCCTGGGCCTTGTTCTCAGATGTGCTATCCCAGGCACAGGGATTAATAATATTAAAAAATGCAAGTGAATTTTATGTATTAATTAGGGCCCACCAAGGAGAGGAGCTAAAAACCAGCCCAGCAGATGAATTTTCTCTTGATAGAGATGTTAACAAGCCTTTAGACGCCAACTGTATTAGTTACTTTATTGACAGGAACCTAGTTAGTATCCACAGAAATCTCAGAACACTCATTTTTCTGTCGTTCATTTTGTTTTAATTCATTTGAAAGGCGGAGGGATGGAGAGACAGACAAAGATCGTCCACCCCTGGTTCACTTCCCGAATGCCGGTGGTCGCCAGGGCTGGGCCAGGGTCTGTGCAGGTCTCCTGGGTGGGTGGCAGGGACCCAGGCAAACGTGAGCGTTCGTTCGTCTGCTGCTTTCCCAGGCACAGGAGCAGGAAGCTGGGTGGGAAGGGAGATGCTCCGAGCCGGGTGTGGCACCCTGAGTGGCTTGTCAGCTGGCAGAGAATTTTCTGAACGCTCCACCATCGGGACTCGAGGAGCTGCATCCCCAGCAGGTCTTCTGAGATGTGTCGGTCTGATCCCACCCTGACAACATAAATGGAACTGGCGGGGTCAGCTCCGGAGCTGCTGGCTCTGGGCATCGCGGGAGACTTGGGGCTGAGTTTTCTCTTCAGTGCCCTGGAGCCTGTGAGGGTCTTGGCTCAGGGCCGTCCACCCACGAGGACAGGAGTGATCAGAAGTGGCCTGAGACCTCCGACTCAGGAAGCTGCAGCCCAGGAGCTGGGGGATGGGCTCAGCCGGGCGGTCACACCCTCCCGCTCTTAGGACCAGGGCTGCTGTGGCGTCTGCTCGTTTGCATTCATTTCAAAATGGGGCAGCAAGGGGAGAAGACATTGCTTACCCCAAAGCTGTCCAGATCCAAACTCCCATTCATTCTCCCTTCTCTGGTGTGAAAAATTAAAATACCCCAGTTTTCTTAAAAAGCCACTAAAACAGGGCCGGCGCTGTGGCGCAGCGGATTAACGCCCTGACCTGAACTGCCGGCATCCCGTACGGGCGCCGGTTCGAGACCTGGCAGCAGGGCCTCATCTTGCTGTTTGGACTGAGGTGTTCATGCACACGCGCTAGATGAAATGGTGCCTTTTGTTACCGGTGCTGCCTAACGTCACCCAGCAAACGTCTATCGCACGTCTGTGCACGCCACACTGCCATAGGTCTGGGGATGCAGGAACTGGAGGGTACCTGGAGGGGTGGGGGCTCAGGGGGTTGGGAGTGTGGGGATGGGTGGGGGTGCAGGGGCAGGTGGGGGGCAGGCATGGGTGGGGCTGTGGGGATGGGTGGGTACAAGGGCATGTAGGGATGGAGGGAGGAGTTGATGGAGGTGCAGGGGCGACTGAGTGCAGGGTCAGATTGGGGTGCACAGAGGATGGGGTGCAGATGCAGGGAGAAGCCAGTCCCGGTGTGCAGGTCCTGGCCTCTGCTCTTTCCCACACTATGGGCTGTGCCAGGCTCTGAGGCAGCCCCTGCTTTCCTGCGGACAGACTCTGAGCCACATCCCGTGACTTCTCCAGGAAAGCATCACGCAGACACAGCCCTGCCACCATGTGTGTCCTCCCGTGTGCCCTGGCAGCCTCTAGGATGACTTCCCACGGCCACCTCAAAGAGTCCATGAGAAATGGAATGGAAAGCATGAGCTTATTTTGGTAACAAATTATTTTTCCCAGTAATATGTGAAAACGAGTAGCTTTTGAAAAAAAACTGCATGTGGATTTCCAAAAACTTTGTGAGCCCAAATAAACTCACGCTTGCCATTCCCTTTTCCTAGGAGCTGTTTGGTGTGCTGAGACTCAGCCACCTTCTCCCAGGGTCTGGGAGTGCTGTGCCCACAGGGACAGGCGCCCTTGACCTTGGTCGTCTGTGTTTAGGGTCAGCTCCACCCTTCTCTGTCCCATTTTCCTGAATGACATTGGGATGTTTTAGTGACTTTTTTTAAAAAAAGATTTAGTTATTTATTTGAAAGTCAGATCTACACACACACACACACACAGAGAGAGAGAGAGAGAGAGGTCTTCCATCCTCTGGTTCACTCCCCAGATGGCTGCAATGTTCTGAGCTGCGCTGATCCAAAGCCAGGAGCCAGGAGCTTTTTCCAGGTCTCCCATGTGGGTACAGGGGCCCAAAGACTTGGGCCATCTTCTACTGCTTTCCCAGGCCATAGAAGAGAGCTAGATTGGAAGTGGAGCTATCAGGATGTGAACCAACACCCATCTGGGATGCTGGCGTTTTAGGCCAGGGCTTTACCCTGCTGCGCCACAGCGCTGGCCCCTTTAAACAGCTTTTGAGTTGAAGCTACTGGGAGTTTGGGAACTCCTTGGCCAATGGTCAGTCCATCCCAGGCCAGCAAGAGGTCAGTCCCATCTGCTTGCTCTCCCTCTGGCCTCCTTGCCCTCCTCCTCCTTGGAGGCTCCCTAATAACTAAACACTTGCTCTTGCAAACCATGTAAGTTGAATCCTGCTCCCTGTGGTCCTGAGCAGTAGGTGCGACTCTCCTGGTGCAATGGGAGACCACACTGAGATTTTCGGATGTGTAATGGTGCCGTCTAAAGCCACCGGGGAAACCCACGTCAGTGCCTGTACCTGGACACAGCATTTTGGGAACAGTGGCTGCCCTGGCCACTTCGGGCCCCAGGTCATACGTCACCTCCTCCATGAAGCCATCTGCCCGCCCCACTGCCTCCTCCAGGCTGTCAGACAGCTGCAGCACTTCCGCTCTGCAGTGGCCGCACTGGACTCTTATTTGCCTGTCTCTTGTCTCTTCTTCCAGGCTCTGGGCCTTGCGAGTGCAGGGCTGGAACCTGCCGCGGCATCGTCATATGCCCGGGGGCCTGGCACCCAGGAGGTGCTCCCCCAGTGTTTGTGGAATGAGTGACAGCCCCTTCCCTGTGCATAGCTGGGAGAGCACGCTATGAGCGTCCTTTATCTCAATCGTCTCCTAGGATCATAAGCAAAAACCAGAGTCCCTCAGTACACCACAATCCCTGCCCCCATCAGGCCCTGAAATTAGATGAATAAAACCTCCGTTTGGGGCCAGCGCTGTGGCTCACTTGGTTAATCCTCCACCTGTGGTGCCGGTATCCCATATGGGTGCCGGGTTCTAGTCCCGGTTGCTCCTCTTCCAGTCCAACTCTCTGCTGTGGCCCGGGAAGGCAGTGGAGGATGGCCCAAGTGCTTGGGCCCTGCACCCACATGGGAGACCAGGAGGAAGCACCTGGCTCCTGGCTTCAGATTGGCATAGCGCCAGCTGTGGCGGCCATTTGGGGGGTGAACCAACAGAAGGAAGACCTTTCTCTCTGTCTCTTTCACTGTCTAACTCTACCTGTCAAATAAAAAAAGAAAAAAATCCTCCATTTGGCCTGAGATAGAAAGGTACACTGGCAATGACCTTGTTTGCAAAGTACTGTCTTATTTTGAGCCTCATCTTGACTTCCTGTGATGGACTCCAAGCACAGGAGAGGCACCGCGGGGCTGAGACTCGTCTGGGCTCACGGAGTTGATGCCTGATGATGTCACCACAGTCTCTGGGAGCGGCCCCAGCCTGCACCGGTGGCTGGCGGGGTCCAGGACCTTGCATGAGTGTGGTAGGCAGGAACCACCTATTATGCTGATAAACATACAAAAACATATTTCTCTTTTCTTCTGCCTCTCCTAGTAAAACAGCAAAATGATAAAACACAGCGGCACAGGAGTTGGCAAACACAATCCTGCGCAGCCCCTAGAGCAGGTCTGTGGCAAAGGAGAGGGCAGGGCTTGTCCGGGGGCAGGGGCCCCTCGACTCCCTCCAGGGCTGAGCACCTGCAGACGGGGACCCGGGGGCACCAAACATTCCCACTGGACATCTTGATTTTTCAGTAGCTTAAAATCTGTGTGCTTCCAGTATTTACCCCAAACATTTGCTTTGAAATGGGGAGAATTAACTTTGTGGTTGCAAACACAGCTCTCCCTTACCCCGACTCTGCTGTCTTGATGGAGTACCTGAGACGGGGTATTTTCTCATGGACAGAAACACGGGCACCTGTAGTTCAGGGCTGGGGAACCTCTTCTCTGCCCAGGGCTCATGGCTATTTATAGCGTCATCCTCGGGCCATCACAGTTATCAGCTTACAAATGAGCCTGCTGCAGCTGGATGGACGTTCCAGTCCCGCCCGAGGTGCTTCTGCGAGGCCAGACCAAATGATGGCGCAGGCCTTACCTGTCTCGCAGGCTGTGCACTCTCCACCCCGACCCGGCCAAGGAAGCCAAGATGGAGGGGCAGCATCCGGTGAGGGTCTTCTCACTGCTGTGCCAGGGGCGATGGGGGGCTGCCCGTGCTCTTTATGGCAACATCGGTCCATGGGGGGGGGCCCATCTAGCCTAAGCACCTCTTTAAAATGCTGCGGGGGCGGGGGGCACACTGTTGCCATGGTAGCTAAATCTCCACCCACGCCCCTCCCCCTGGTGGTCACTTAGCCCTTCCAGGATGGCGACAGCGCGGCT